TTAATATTTTCTCTTTATTCTGTAGGTTTGAAGTTCTGATTATTATGTGGCAAGGGGACTTTTTTTTTTTGCTCCAGCCTATTTTGGGTTCTGTAAGATTCTAGTATTTTCATAGGCATATCCTTCTTTAGGTTAGGGAAGTTTTCATCTATGATTTTGTTGAATATGTTTTGTGTACTTTTGAGCTGTATTTCTTCACCTTCTTTGATACCTATTATTCTCAGGTTTGGCTTCTTAACGGTGTCCCCTATTTCCTGGATATTTTGTGTTAGGGATTTTTTGGACTTGATATTTTCTTTGGTGGATGAGTGTATATCCTCTAATGAGTCTTCAACACCTAAGATTCTTCCATCTCTTGTATTCTGTTGGTGATACTTACATCTGTAGTTCCTGATCTTTTACCCAGCTTTTCTATTTCCAGCATCCCCTCATTCTGTGTTTTCTTTATTGTTTATATTTCAGCTTTCAAGACTTCAACTGTTTGAGTTATTTCCTTTATTTGTTTGGTTGTTTTTTCTTGGCTGTCTTTAGATTCTTTAAGAGATTTGTTTATTTCTCAAACTTTTTGATTCGCCTTTTCCTCCATTTCATATATTTTTGTTTGTTTGTTTTTTCTTCTGTTTCTTTAAGGGATTTTCTCATTTCCTATTTGAGGTTCTCTATCATCTTCATAAAATATTGTTTAAGGTCTGTCTCTTCTGCTTCATCTATGTTGTGCTTTTCAGGTCTTGCTGGCATAGGGTCTCTAGATTCTGGTGGAGTCATGTTGGTCTTTCTATTGCTGAGTGTGTTCTTATACTATAGTCTTCCCATCCCTTCTTCCAGTGGTGCAGGTGAGGTCTCTCTGTCTCCACTGGTCTCCCTGAAGCTGGGTGCACCGGTATGGGGAGAGTGGAGGATGAGATCTGGCAGGAATCACTTCCTTCTTCTCTGAATGCAGGTGGTCTTTCCTGTGTGGGCGGGTCTTATTCAAAACTATCAGTATACTCTAAGATGTAGACCATCTTTTCACTGTGAGCCCCCGTGACATTGAAAAGTTAGATTCTAGATTCTCCAAACACATGGCACAGAGAACATGCGTACTTTCTAAACTGGTTGGTTATGTGGGGACATAACAATGAAACATTGGACCAAAGTAAGACCAAAACCCAGCAAGGTAAATGCCAAATCCTGCAAGTCCATGTCTAGCATCTGGGTCCCATGATGGAATCTTTTGTGCTCCAAAGAGCTTGGATACTCCCCCCCCCCCCCCCCCCGCCCAACCACTGGTATTAGCCACATTGAGCAACCAATGCTTTTAGTGGATCATGATCAGTATCTCCAACATCCTAGGTTCTGTTATAACTTAGGCTTCATCTCACAGCTTCATGGATTTCTGAAGCTCTTTCTGTCTATATTCAGAGTACATTTTTTTCTTATTCTGCCTTTCTTCTTCACTGGGTCACAAGGGACTCACAGCTTCTATCACACTATTTTATCCAACAAGGCAAGACACACACACACACACACACACACACACACCTCAGAATATTCTCTTAATTTATAGGCAGTCATTTATTTCTTCTGAGTAATTTTGGTTTGAGTCTATTTTACTAGGTAGGAACACAACTGCTTCTTTTTGTCTTTAACTTCTACTTACTTGAAATACCCTTCTTATTCTCTATGTGTCTTTGCTAGGGAGCTGTGTTTCTGGATCTTATCATTAGAAAGTTAAGATCATTTATATTTAGTGCTATTATTGAGAGGGATTATTGGTTCCTGTATTTTCTTCACTTCTTTTTTTGCTAATTTAGTGGTTGTTTGCCACCCCCTCATTTATATAAGGGGATTTGATGTTTAACAGAGCCGTACAAAGCCAGGTGGTGGTGTCGAACACCTTAAATCCCAGCACTCAGGAGTGAGAGGCAGGTGGATCTCTGAGTTTGAGGCCAGCCTGATCTACAAAGAGAGTTTAGGACACCCAGGACTACACAGGGAAAGGTATCTTGAAAACAAAAGAAAGGAAAACCAAAACAAACAAAGGGGAAAAAAAAACCAAACCAGAACTGTACATGATTTCTTCTATCCCTTTGTGTGTTTATTTCTGATGAGCTTGTCCTCTCCTGTACTCTCACGATTGAGATGGTTCTTCTTCTTTGTAGAGGAATCTTTCACGTATCTTAAGCATTGCAGGTTTAGGGTCACGAATTGCTTTAGTTTGTGCTCATTTTAGAAAGCCTTTATTTTTCCATCCACTTTAAAAAGTAACTTTGATGGTTTATTATTTAAATTTTCTCATCACCATGACCTCCCATAAGCAACTTAAGTGAAGACAGTTCTTCTCACAGTCTCATGGTAGGGAAGACATGACATCATCCAGACTGGCAGAAGTTCTTCCTATCATGGCTCTGGGACATGCAACAGCTTGCTCACATCTCAGTGGATCATGAAAATGAAGATCTCTGGCCTGACATGGGTGTGTAATTACACCTCAAAGCCCAACTCCCATGACTTACTCCTTCCAGCAAGGCTCACCATCATAAAGCTCCCATAGTCCCGCAGACCAGTACCACCAGCTAGGGGACCAAATGTTTCACCATATGAACCTTTGGGAATCTTTTTTTTTAATTATGAAACTGTTGGCCATTATATATGGTTTCTTATTGGCTAGCTCTGACTTAATTATTAACCCATAACTACTAATCCATGTATTTCCACGTGGTCTTGGCTTAACAGACCTGCAACTCCTTTGCCTGCTACATGATGACGGCTGGCTCAGAGTCTCAGCAGAAAAGAGAGGAGAAGCTGGGAGTCTTTTTGTATTCAGTCCACAACAGCTGCCTATAGTAGTCTTGTTGCACAGTTACCTATCTCAGGCTTTGAAGCACATCAACATGTTTTTCTTGGCCTTTACAGTTCTGTTGAGAAGTGTGATGTTACTATGATCTGTTGTCATTTGCATGCATTCGGTATTTTTCTTTTACAGCCTTTAAAACCCTGTGAAAAGATTGCTTACTGGTCATGTCTATTTAGGGTTTTAAATACCCCATGTACTTAGATGCCCGTTTTCTATCTTGGGAAACTTACTGTCTTTGGAGAGATTTTTTTTGTGCCTTTAGTGTATTTTATTTTTTGTTTTGATAACCACAGCACCTTCTGCCCCATGGACTCACAGGTTTGTTTTCTTTGTGGTGATATATTATTTATGATTTATTAAAGCTTGCCTGAGGGTACAGAAAGCAAAACTAGTCACAAGCCACAGAGCCAGGCAATGGTGATACCCATCTTTACTCCCAGCAGCCATTTTAGCAAGCCATAGAGCCAGACAGTAGTGGCACAAACCTTTAATCCCAGGACTCCAGAGAAAAGCAGATGGATCTCTGTAAGCTCAAGGCCACACTGAGCTACATGAAATTGATCTAGTCCTGCAGAGAAACAGCTCACACAAAGATGATCCCAGCACTTGAGATCACACGCCTTTAATCCCAAAACTTAGGAGTATAAAAGGAAAAAAAACGAAACAAAAAAATGGGCCTCATGTGGAGATTTATTCTCCAGCCATGTTGAGGCTGTGGAGAAGACAGGCCTTTCAGCGTGAGGTAGGGGTAAGAGCTAGTGGCTTGCTTGCTTTGCCTCTCTGATCTTCAGCTTGAAACTTGAACCCCAATGTCTGTCTCTGGGTTTTTAATTTTTCATGTTACATATATTAACTACAGGAGTTCATGGGAGTTGTACTCATACTGTTTAGGTTTTTTCCTGTTGTTTATTTTTGATTGGTGTCTGAATATGGAATTTCCTCTTCATGGTCTTCCATTCTTAACAGCTGTGGCTGACTTTCTCATCCATGCTGCTGACCTCTCTAAGCAGATCCAGAATTGACTTCCTTAAGTTCTTCATCTGTTTTTTGTACCCATATTGGCATAGTTATCATTTATGCAAGTAGATTTGAATTCTTGGTCTAGCATGTTAGCCATTTGAGCCATCTTTGTATTTGATGACTGAGGTTTTGATTATTTTCTGATCAAATCTCATCTTTTTGTTTCTTTTATGTCTGTTTTTCAATTTATGCATGTGTTGTAATGGATGTTTCTTCTGGTTTTATTTGGGAATCTTCTTGATAAATAGGGTTCTTTTCAGAGTCAGTTCATAGTACCATTCAGAGTGGAACAAGTAAGCCACAAAACACCACACTAACTCAAATACGTTAATATACTTATTATCTCTTTAAATGCACTTAAAATCTCTCTATGATCGTCTCTTCTAAAGTTAAAGTGAATTACTATATTATCAAATGCCATGGGATAGAAAGTGATGAAAATATTGTTTTTATGATTTTTAAAATTATAGTAAAATTTTAAATGCTAAATTAATAAAGAAATTAATAGAGCAGGAAATGGGGAAAGAAGCAACATTAAATAAAGTGAGGGAAGAAGAGCAGTGGTGAAGCAGAGAAAAACCCAAGAGAGTGATGTGGAAAAGTATCTCTATGACCTCAGAGTAGCGGGATTCTGTAAAAGCACAAAAATGTTAACCTATAAGGTGAGCTCTTATGTTGGCAGTACAGAAAATCCTGGACCGCAGAGCTCGGTTACAACAGAAATCTTACATGTTGTCATTCAATTGACTGTAAAATTTGCAATTTGCATGGTTTTAAGCCTCGTGGATGATTGGGATCTATGTTTCCTCCATTATTTCTCATTTTATTTAAAGGTCTTTTTCATAATGATTTATATAAACTATATATATTCTAGATCCTATTGCATATGTTACAATATCTTGTCCTGGTATGTGACTTTTCCTTTCACCTCATATTGACTATTTTACAAACACATGCTCTCTCACCCTGTAAGTTAACATTTTTGTGCTGTTACAAAATTCCCCTACTTTGATGTGGTCATTGTAAAATCATAAAATAAGGACAAAAATATATCTGATAGTATTTCTTTTGGTTATTGAATGGGTTTACTATATGTTAAATTGGCTGATCTTGTATTGAATGCCTGACATACCTTGTGTTGTAGGACACCAATATCTACCTGGTTGGCACAGAAGAAGGCCTTATTCACAAGTGTTCCTGTTCATACAATGAGCAATACCTAGAGACCTATAGAGGACACAAGGTCAGGTTAATTTTAGGAGACTTGGAAACTGTATCTCATGGTATTTTTGAAAGGCATATACGATGTGCCTAACAGATGCAATCAGTTTACAACTGTGAGTTAGTAGCCCCTTGAATAAGTTTGTGTGCTGATTCCAAAGAAACATTGTCTCTTGCTTATATTCATTCTTTGTCTCTTATGATCATCTCTTCCATATTTCTTTGTTATTTTGTAACATCATCTGATATCCTTTCAGGAGTCTGTAATATGTGTTCATAGTTACTGGCCATTTTCTCAAGTATTTTTATATAGGATAATTAAAGGAAGATTAAATTTACAGTCTTTCAGCTAAAGCAGTCCCTATGTAATGCTCAGTGGTGTGTGTAGCTTCTAGAAATCATAGTAACTTTTAATCTATTGGCCAAGTTTAAAATATAAGATGTCAAATATTCTTTACCTATGCATGGCATTTTTGCATTCCCAGGGTCCAGTGTATAAAGTTGTATGGAATCCATTTTGTCCTGATGTCTTCTTGAGCTGCTCTGCAGATTGGGGTGTCATGATCTGGCATCAGGAGACTCTCAAGCCATTTTTGAGTTTTTACACAACTACTTATGTTGTTTATGATGTCGCCTGGTCTCCAAACTCTGCCTATATTTTTGCTGCTGCAAATGAGAGCAGAGTAGAGATTTGGGACCTTCAGATCAGCACGTAAGTATCTAATGGTAATGTTTTGAGTGATGTCTCCGGCAGAAAGAGATCAAATAAAAATACCAATCTTATAGCTTTGTAATCAGGTAACAGGTGTGTGACTCAAACAGTGCCAGCCACAGCTCAAGTATGACATTATAGGATGATTTATTTTGAATCAATGCTATATATAATAGAGTGACTGTTTAAATGATCCATGCCTTGGTTTTAATTTTCCTAGTAAAACTATAGTTTTCAGGGCAATGCTTCCCTAGAAACAGAAAAATGACACTGCCTTTCCTTTTCAAAGAGCCCAGGTGGTTATTTTCATGACCAAGACTAAGAACCGTCTCAGCTGAAGGTGGCCTTATACTCTAGCAGGTCTTATAGATTCAAATATTCTTCTATGAAGAGATAATTATGGTGGCCTGTGGTAGGGCCTTGCCTGCTATACACAAGGAAGGGCATTTCACAGGCAAAACTGTATTGCACTTCACAGTCTTTTCTCATTAAGGCCTTCAATTGATGACACATATCCATGTTGTGGAAGGGAGGGAGCTTTGTTTAAATTCTAATTGTAATGTTAGTCATAGCTAAGAACTGACACCCACACCCTCCCCACCCTCCCACACAGAGAGAGAGAGACAGACAGACAGAGAGAGACAGAGAGGCAGAGAGACACGGAGAGATACACAGAGACAGAGAGAACAAAAACTTTTAGTGGTGGCAGATGGGTGTTTGAACAAAGAACTGTACTTGGCCCATAGTATTACCAAGTTGACACACAAAATTAACCAGCACAAAACCTTAAGTTTATGTGTTCACATTTAAGTTAGGAATTAAATTTACCTGGCTGCAACTGCAACTGTCTTGTTGAAGAAATGAGGTTCTTGATTAGGAGAAAAAGTTATTCTAAATTTGGAAACACTTTAGGAGATTTTTGTTTGTTACATCAATTTTTAAAAAATCAAACTCTTTTTCAGTTTGTATCTTTTAAAAGATCAATTTGATGTGACACCTAAATTTACAGATAAATTATTTCATTACAGTTTGGACCCTCTGATTGTGAATGTTGCTAATCCTGGAATCAAGTTCACAACCGTTCTCTTTGCCAAACAGACAGATTGCCTTCTAGTGGGAGACAGCGATGGGCAGGTTGCAGTCTATGAACTGAAACATATGCCTACTGCTTCAGACACTGGCCGGGTAAGACTCAGATGCAAAACTTCTAGGTCCTTTGTGAATCCGTTGGAGTGTGACTTTGTAGTATGTCATGGATGGACGTACATTTGGTGAGTGGCAGGTTTGAGGTGTATGGTAATGCGGGATTCCAAGTGTCCATCAAGCTTGTTTTCAGTCAGCCTGGGATCCTTAGTTATAGAAGATAATAATGAGAAAATGATGGCACCATATAAGGACCTTAGACACTGTTGGGAGGAACTCTGTCATGCTTACTGTGTAACCCAGGCTTGGACAGTCAGTAGGTGTAGCTGAAATAAATGTCTTCAGAGATTATCCACTGTTCTTGAAGTGAGAACTGATTCTGGTGCTGTACCATATGCAGCTATTCAAATGTGAGCATTATGTTGCCCAGCTTTGACAAAAAGCTCAGTATCATCAATGCACATTATTTTTATAGTAGATTTTTTAGTTTTTCTTTGTTTTTATTGTTATTGCAAAAAGTAATCTGGTAAATATCTTAACATGAAAAATGTTAAAGTAAAACCACATAAATAATATTCTAAAAAGCACTGAGTCCAATAGAAGAGAGGGCACAAGTTAAGAACATCCATTCACAAAACTGTGGTGACAATATACCTTAAAAAGTTTCTAAACTAACATTCAATATGTTTTCACAATCAAATTGACAGGTTTCTTTAGAATGTGTACAGACCTACTAAGTAGCAGGTAGCATCTGCAAAGTAAAGTCCTTTAATATTGCTGTTGGGCTAGAAACTGATGTACTGTCTTTGGAAACAATCTGACAGTGTAAAACTAGCATCAGGAGCCCTTCAAGGGAGTGTGGATTGCCCTGAGCTAGTAATTCCATTCTTGGAACTTTTTATTTATCATCTTTCCACCTAAACCCCTCAGGGCTTGTTCCTTCACCTACTTCAGATCTTTTCTAAAATGACTTTTTCAGTTAAGATTTCTTTGTTTGTCTCATTTGAAACTGTAATATCTGTTCTCTCCACACTCCCTATTCGTCCATCCCCATCACTAATTTCTCTCAATAGCACTCACTTTTTAATATTCTATACTCTTATTTATCTAAAAAGTTATTTCTATATGCCCCCAGACTAGAATGGAAACTCCATAAAAACAAGGATTTTGCCTATTTTGGGCTAGGCTATATTTCCATTATTTAGTTCAGCAACGGGTATACAGCAGGTGTTTGTTGAATAAATATGCTTTGAAAGATTCTAAGAAATCAGAATATATTGTAAATATCATTTTTAAGGGGAAAGATGGTGAATGAATTTTAGGGTTCCAACTCAGTTACTTGTTTTCTTTTCTAGTGTATGCAAAGAACTCTAACAATCAGAAAAAGCAAGCCCAATGCTTTTTTAAATGAATAAATATATAAAATACTAATTCACAGAGAGGAATCTACGGTACCAAAACATCTTCATCCTCAGTAGCATTTATGAAATACTCAACTGAAATTAAAGCAGTAGCTAGCATTGATTAAATGGTTGTAATCTAACCAACATCAAATGTTAGCAAGGGTTGTAAGAATATACATGTATATATATATTTACATTAGCCTCCTTGGAGATCATTTCAATAAAACAGAAGTCCTTATAACTAGGCGATAACTCCTCATTCATGTTAACTAGCCAAGAAGGATACCGATGTAAAATTATTTTTCTTTCTTAGATGTTCTTGAAGCAACCTTTATGTGTAGAAGGATGGCTTAGTCTACCCTCAAATAAAAGAGGTTCAAGTGCTATATAACATGAAAATCCCAGTAGACTGTACACTTTCACCCAATTATAGATTGTTTTTCAGTATATGAGCATCAGTCTAGATTGCCAGGAAACCTGATATGAAAAAGTCTTTTATATATAAGTGAATATTGAAATACATAATATGTAAAGACTTGTTTATGCAGAAAATGTTAAAATTATGTTTGTCTTTGTACATGATACTTTTTTATTAACATAAAAAGAATAACATTGTAAGTACATTTAGTTACTACTCATTTGGCTGAGATGTATGTCGAATAGTGTTGGCTAGGGAGTGATGAGACAGCTTCTCACAGAAGAGGCAACACCTCAGTGCCTCTCTTGGCAGGCTTAAGTTCATTTATTTCTCATGACACTTTTACTATCTGGTCAGGCTCCAACACTTAGATGTTTATTTGCTGTCTCCCTAGATTCTGTTTATCCCCCAGGATTTTATTTCATTGGTAATGGTGTGAAATATACACTAGCGTGTCTCAGAGGTTAAGAGGGCACACTGCTCTTCCAGAGGATTCATGGCACCAACTCAGAACTGCCTGAGCTCCAGGGTATAGGATATATCTGCCCTCTTTGGCATCCAAGGCCATCCCCATGCATACACACACACACACACACACACACACACACACACACACACACACACACACAGACAGACAGACAGAGAGGAGGACACACACACACACACACAGAGAGAGAGAGAGAGAGAGAGAGAGAGAGAGAGAGAGAGAGAGAGAGAGAGAGAGAAGAACATTAAGCAAACAGTTACTGAGCAACTACTATGAAAAGAAACCTTTGAAGATACGCGAATGAGAAGACACTGAATCTTCTTATAGCAATCATGGGTCTATATTGATAAATCAGAAGCAATTCTAGATGATGGCTAATAGAGGACTGTATAACTAAAATGTATCACCTTACCACTTCTCCAAACACAGACATTTAGATAATATGCATATTACTATGATCGTATGAGAATTTTTGAATATATGTAGAAAGGAAAGTTTTAGGAAGATGGGCATAATATGCTAAAATTCATGTAAAAGCTAGATGTGACACAGCAGGGTGTGATGGTGCATGCCTTTAATTCTAGCACTTGGAGACAGAAAGGTTGATCTACAGGCCAGCCTGGTCTTCAAAGTGAGTTCTAGGACAGCCAGGGCTACACAAAGAAACCCTGTCTCAAAAAACAAACAACAAAAAAAAAGCTAGATGTGGTGGCTCATGCCTGTAATCTCAATGCTGAGGAGATCAGGTATGACTGCAAGTTTAAGAACTACCTGGTGAGATTCAGTCTAGTCTGGTCTGCAAAGATGAGACCCTGCAGCAAATAACACACATACACGCACACACGCGACACACACACACACACACACACACACACACACACACACACACAGAAAACAAACGAATGAACAAACAAAAAAACCTATTCTCAGTGAATAGAATTATAGTTTGAAGTATAAAATGCAAACGCAACATGCTTCATTTTTATGTTTGGATCTTGATTAGTTCAAGCCATCTTTTCATTTGAACAATATATTCTATAAACAGAAATTGGAGTTTACAGAGTTCAAATGGCTTTAAATAAGTTCTTGTATGTGTGCTCTGGTGATTTCATGGCTGGTGAGCAAATGTTTCCTTTAATAAATATGTCCTGTACATTAGCGAGTGAGTATATTTTCATGATTGTCATCAACGTCTTTGAAAGGTTTAGTGCTATTTCTGTGGGTATAACCCACCCATCCTCCTCCATAGCTTTTGGAAAACAGTTATAGTCCCAGTAATAATATGAAGTACTTCTTATCAAGATATTATGTGAAGTGACATCATGACTTATAATTTTTCCATTAATTTCAACCAAGAGTGTGTCAGAGGTCTGGAGGACTTTTGGTTTCATCCATAGGAAAGATGTGTACCAGATCTCTAAGGCTATTTATGGTTATGACTGATAAGGAAAGACAGGATAGGAAGGTATACAAAGGGAACTTCAGAGCTGCCAAGGTAGCTCATCAGATAAAGATGCTCTCTGCAAGCCTGGTGACCTGAGTACAATTCCTTGAATCCATGTAAAAGATAGAAGGCGGGGAGACTGACTCCACAAGGTTGTGCTCTCACTTCTGCACAGTCAACATGTGCACCTACACACACTTTTATTTTTATAGGAAACTTCTTGTATATTAAAAATATACGAAGTAAAGTGGCCTTTGTTGATTTGGTGTGTGTGTGTGTCTGTGTGTGTGTGTGTGATGTGTGTGTCTGCATGCATGTTTGTGCAGACACTAGTAGAGGACATCAGTTGTCTTGCTCTGTCACTGCCTTATTCACCTGAAACAGACTCACTTTCACTGAAACTGGAGCTAGATTGGCAGTCAGCAGCTCCTACTGATCTGCTTGTCTCCGCCCACTCACAGTGCTGGAGTTGCAGGCACTTATAGGACTATGCCCAGCTTGAACTCAGGTTCCCATGCTTGCACAGCAAGTACTCCTCCCCTCTGAGCCATCTCCCTAGTCCATATTTGTTTATTTGGATGAATATGTATTTTGTAATCAAAGAATGCTACCATACAGCCCCGTGCCTGGTGTGATAGAGAAGTGTTCAATGGATTGGTATGAGTTTTTGGGCAATGTGTTCTTTCTCTCATTGCAATTATAACTCTGTAGTATAGCTAACTGTTGACAGGATATACCACCCCTTAACTTTCATGATGCCAGAAGCACCAGGTCTCTTGATATGGTGAAAGTCAATCACTAGACATCTAAGTTTTGCTTTAAAGAGTTATGGTTTAGGAATTCAGTTGAAGTCAACTTTGTGGGCCCTTTAGGAAGAAACCTTTTCCATGACTAATCTCTAGAGATTGCTCTTGTATACTTCATTGACTGCTATGACTTGGTGTATAGATATTTGCCATATTTTTCTCTGTTTGGGGTATATATACTTTATCTTAACTAAAGGAGAATATTTAAGAGGTGGGGTGTTTAAAATGGGGTTTAAAAACATAGACATGTGATATACTAGGCCACCGTTGAAAGATACCAAAGGCACTCATTGATTGATGAGATAACTAATCAGTGTATACCATGTGACAGGGCCTGTCTTAGGCACTAAGGATATATAACTGAGCAAGCTGCAAGACTGATCCATTTCCTTAGCCCAAGTGAGAGACAGAAGCAGGAGGGCACAGCTTTGAAAAGCACAGGAAGGTTAGAAGTGGCCAGGCGTTACATTATTCCACTGGACACTGTAGGCTGACACAGCACTGAGGGCAGTGAGTGCAGTACAGGCCAGAGGACCGGAACTGACTCCTGAGATGCGGGGGGCCTCCTGGTCCTTAGAGTTTAGATACGTTCAGCATCTCCATCTCCCATAGCCTTCAGATGCCGATTTTCTCAGTATCCTTTTTGCCTTGTGGTAGAGGGAAATGTGGCTCTTTGGACTTGTCGTCTTTCACTATAAATTCTCGCATTCTTCCCCCCCATCTTTGGTTTCCTTCCTAGTGTGTGATTATCTTGTGAGTTTTAGTACAGACCCACATGAACATCAAGAAGTCAGTCTCTAAGTCAACCATCGACAGAGGTCAGGAAAGAACTGGAAATGCAGGTGAGCCAACTAAGGCTCAGGTGCAGAGGTAAACAGGAGGCGCTAAAACTGCCATCCCTTCCATCAGATCCTTATAAAATTGTTTGCCAAGCTTCATTAAAAGAGGCTTTCCTAGGAAAATAGCTATATGTCAGGAAGCAAGTGTCATTGTTTAAACCTTCCCCTGTTTGTTCTCTCTTTTACAATCTTACTAGATGCCCATTAAATGTGTACATCTAACTTACAAATTTCAAATGGCATTTTAAAGACAGCTTTACTGTTCAGATTGAATTTTATTGTCTTGTAATTGTGTGTTTTTTTCTTTTCAGGGAGATGTAATAAGTGCTCTGCTTGGGCCCAAGACAAACCAACCAGGATAATCAATCATTCTTGCTACATTTTGTTCTTGTTTAAGGAAAAGGGAATAATATTATATACTGTAAGCTAAGATTTTAGTTTTAAGAGAGCAATATGTGGCCTATACCTTCCATTTAAATTAAATTAGTTTTTATTTCAGAAACATGATTAGTTTATAATTTTAAATACTGAAGATATTTGTTGGGATTTTCTTAATTTTCTAAAGATTTTTATGCTCTACTTCTTGGTCATATACATAAACCTATAACATGTCCAAATATCTTGGGAAATGCTTTCTTTAAAAACTTAGCTATTTTTCGCTGGGCGTTGGTAGCGCACGCCTTTAATCCCAGCACTCGGGAGGCAGAGGCAGGCGGATCTCTATGAGTTTGAGGCCAGCCTGCTCTACAGAGAGAGTTTGAGGACAGCCTCCAAAACAAGACAGAGAAACCCTGTCTCGAAAAACAAAAACCCCCCAAAAAAACTTAGCTATTTTTCTAATTACTTCATCTGCAGGTAGAAGATAAAAATCACAGAAACTTTGGGATTTACAGTCACACAGCCACTGAAATGAGCACAGTGAGCTCTCACATCTGGCTTGGAAAAATCAATGCTGCCCTCCTAAATCTGAGCCTCAAGACTAGAGAACTTTGTCAGACCGCTTGGCAAGCTATGGGAGGGAACAGCAAATATCAGCCACATTGTCCTGCTAGCCAGCATCCCATCTCCTCATCAGAGGGGAACACTAATCAAAATACATCATCACCTTCCTCCGAAAGCCCGAATCATCTGTAGGGAACTTTCAGCGCAGACTTAGAGTTGTTTCAGCAAGAAAACAAGGTCTCTGCCCTATACACCTGGTCAGGGAGTTTTCTAAAGAGGTCTAGAGAGAGATTGGGCAGGAGGATGGAGTACCCCCCAACCCACTGACAGACTGCTACAAGGTGGTCCATGTGTTCAGGAGTCAAAGGAGGCTAGAAGGCATAGCAGCCTGTTCTGTAAAGTGTTTTGAGTGAAGAAGAGAGACTGGGTGTGTGAAGCCAGCTGAGGCTCTGGAGGTCCTGTGTGTGTCTGTTCTGGTGATGCTCCATCACAGTGACAACTACTGATGACAATAACCATTGCCTTGCCATCTCCATATTGGGGATCTATCCACTAAACAAAAGTAACCCATTTTTAGGTGGCTCTTGGGTTTATCTCATGTCCTAAAGATTTGATATTTTTCTGCTGGTCTAAGTCATTGTGGTTGCCTTTCTGAAAGATTGAAATAACTGTGTTACTTTGAGTAAAAAAAAACACAATAAAAACTGATTTAGTTGAAAAATGCATTCCTTTTTATTTTAATGTTTTCTTTAATTTTTCTCTTGTTTTCATCAAACCTGGCTGAAAATTAAAGGCCTCATATTGGATACTGGACAATGGATCCAAAAAATTGAACATATTCTACTTCATTTTCTCCTCTAGATCATGCAGGGTGAAATGATGCTCTCCCATATGTAGATTAGGGATGAATTTGTATTAGGGAATTTCCTTGCCTGTTTTCTAGGCTAACTTCAGTTCCTTATAGTAGACTCCATCGCATGAGAATTCTACCCATCACATCACTAGTCATGTCATCTTTACTGCACGCGTGTATGCAGTTGGGAGCAGAGAGGGTGATGGCCATGCTGAACTTAGCACTGGGCAGTCATCACTTAGGTTGATCATTTTCCAGGAGGCTGCTCTCATACAGAACTTAAAGCCGTCTGAGTCTCCTGCTAAGCTAGCTGTACTTCCCACTGATCTAGACAAGGATAATGGTATTCCTAACTGTGTAATTGTGCATCACATTTAATGTTCCTTTGGTTTACTTCTAAACAATTACTTAGATTTACAAATGAGAAATTAGAACACCCAGCATGTGCCACTTTGTCTAAAAAGTTTATTCAAAAGAAAATCTTGAATTTTACTGTAAATCAGTTTAGTTATTAATATGCTAGTAATTATGCATATTGAAGCTCTTTTTAGTATACAAAACACATTCATAGCCATCATCTCAACTTACTTATCTTAACAATTTTGAAACAAGTAGAGCAAATTGTTTTAATAAAAATATCTGTTCCCAGAAGACTGTGGCTTGAAGAAGTAAGATAAAATACCAGACCATTCACTGGCAATTTGAAATGATTGAACTCAAACACATTGGCTTTGCTTTGTTTTGGCTTAGCTTGCTGTTCTGAGCAGCCATTATGATGAGCAAATATATGGTCAGGTGTAAGGTATGGGGGGGAGAGAGAGAGGGGGAGAGAGGGAGAGAAGAAAGAGAGGGAGGGAGAGAAGAAAGAGAGAGAGAGAGAGAGGGAGGGAGGGAGGGAGGGAGGGAGGGAGGGAGGGAGAGAATGGTTCCTATCCTGTGGAGAGAGGTAGATCTGAAGAGGAGAAGCAGTGAGTAATGGCCTGCTTGCCACCAGGGCCATGGTGACATCTGGTCTTGGGCTGCTGCCGAGGGCCATGTCTGGGTCTGTGACCCTACCACAGCCAGGGTCTCTTCCTCAATGGACAATGTGCAGGCTCCAGATACCACCGAAGGCAGTCTAGATGCCCAGAGTCTGGCCCAATACCTGAGACCATATTGGTGCCTGAGGGTCATGCTGTCACAAGGGTCATACGGATCTGGGTGGCCTACACTGCTGCCTGGGGCAAGAGGCCATGTCCGTGTCTTCTGTATCCGTTGCCCCACCATAGCTAAGGTCTGTGTTGAGGTCTGTGGCTCCCGGTACCATCGGAGGCTCTGTGTTGCACAGGGTCTGGGAGACCATTTGGAGTCATGTTGGAGTCTGCTAATCACATTGCAACTGGGACCATGCCGATCTGCATCCTGGGACCAGGGTGACACCCAGGCTCTAGCTACTGCTGCTAGCCATGTGTCAATGGTCAAGCTGCAGCTGGGGTTTGTTGCCCGAGTTATCACAGGGGCCCATTCAAACTATGTGTTGAAGTACAAGGGCCGTGCTGAGATGACCCCACCTGGCCCTAGGATAATGATGACCCCACCACTTGGGGAAACTGGTCCTACCGCTTACCATGAGCATGGGAGAGTTGGCTCTGTCTCTCACCTGAGCAGGGTGGTCCCAGCAGCCCTATCAGACCAACTCAGTTACCACTCTGACAGACATCCAGAGATTTGAGTTGGTAGTCCCCAGCATCTACCCCATCTATGATCTGATGGAGCATGTGAAAGACTTGGTCCTGAAGAACCATACACAGGATCCCCATAACTCTGGGCAACAGCAGGAGATTCAGTGAGAGACCAGTATTGATGGTGTACCAGAAACCAGAAATAGAGAGAAGAAAGCCATTCCCCATTCAACTAGTGATATTCAGAAGCACTCAGAGCCACTGGAGCAGAAGAGCCCTGTCCTAATGATAGATGGATCTTGATACAGAAAGACATTGTAGTCATATCTAGGGAAGGGCAAGAAACTTGTGCTGACATTGAATTTCATCGGTACCCTAAGAAAATATTTTAGCATCAGAGTAGATAAAACATTTGAACTGTAGAACTTATGGAGAATGTTGAATCAGCCTGGAACGTTCATGAACATAGCTGCAGCTTTCTTCCATTTTATTACAGTAAAATCCATTTCCCCTTTCAATATAAAAAGTGATAACAACCCCACTGCCTTTGTGTGTGTGTGTGTGTGTGTGTGTGTGTGTGTGTGTGTGTGTAGATTGTTATTACTTTGTGTGGTTGTGTTCCCACCAGCAATTTGGGAAACAAGGCTATCTAATGTAAAGCATCCCAGGAAAAGGGCACAAGGCTCATTCTGATCACCAGAGCCCTGTCCCCAGAAAGCATCTCTAGCCTCTGTACTCTGCTGTGCTTGTTCCTTTGCTTCAGGAGATGCTCACTGTCCTGGTGACCTCACTGACTTCTCCACACAACAGTTAGACTTTGCAATCTGTTTGTTCAGAACTTTGTTTCAAATTTCCTCAAAACTTGTGGGCCATTTACTGGCATATTAGCTTCTATGTGGCAAACTCATTGCATAGTAAAACTGAAAGGCTGACACTTACATGAGACCAGTTCCTAGACTGAACAGAAAATGTAATATGTTTACCAAATCTGATATATAATGAATCTTATGAAAGTGGGCATTTATCTTTTAAAATTGCCAAAAGTTTATGCAATTTCCCAAAACAACTCATAAAAACCTATATTTTCACCAAATATGTATTCTATATAGATACATTTAACTATAAGACGATATGGTATTGTTACTCTAAGAAGTGTCCCAGGGTGAATTCTTGGGAGATCTATATCTGAACTCTGATGATAGATAGAGGGATAGAGACAAGGATAAATAAATAGATGTGTTTGGGGTTTTGTTGTTTTCTTGTTTATTTGAGTGGTGAGGTTGGAACCCAATAAGGTTAGGTAAGCACAGTGACAGTGATCTATTCCTTAGTTCTTACATGTATTTTTTTAAATGTTAAAACAGGGTCTCACTAGGTACTCAGCTGACCTTCAAGTCACTCTGTAGCCCAGAGTGGCCTGGATCATGATCTTCCAATGTCAGATTGTAGACCCACCCACTCCACCAGGACAAGCTCACTTTTATTAAATTTTCCAAACTGTAGCATGCTTGATTGTTTATTGTCTTTATTTCTAAGCACACAAAATGATAACAAAATACAAAATTGATGTTGTGTACATACAAAATAAAGCTTTAAGTATCAATTTCTGTTAGAATTCTAAGTATATCTGAAAACATACACATGTGTGTGCTTGCAAACACCAGATTAGCCATTTATTGGCAGATATGTAAATTGATTCCATTTTTTTTCTTTTTCCAAACAGGAGTTTATAGAGCCTAGTCTAGTCTCAGTATGCAGCCAAGGAAACCCTTGGTTTCCTAATCTTTTCTGCCTCTACTTCCCTACCGCTAGGACCCGGCATGTACCACCATGCCCAGCCTTGATTCATGTGTTTATTGTGAATAAACCACAGTGCCTCACAACATCCGAACTTCATTTCTTTCAGATGTATACCCAGAAGTAGAATTTCTGAATCACATGGCACATTTAATTTTGGGGCGGAAGCTCTAAATTTTCCACCATAAAGGTGCCAAATTTGCCTTTCTCCATGAGCAGTGATGATGACCACATTTTCATATACTTTTTGACTGTTGTGTATCTTCTTTGAAAAATATATTTATTTCTCTGCCTGTTTAATATATAGATCACAAAACTTTTGTAGTACATGTGTGTATGGGTGTGCATGCTAAAGCATACGTGTGAGGTCAGAGGACAACTTTTGAGAGAACTCACATGAAAGATCATCTTGTTTACAGTCCAGAAAATGAATTGATGACAGGGCCCATACAGAGGCCAGCATAGCAATCCAAATCAACTTGGGGGTCAAGACACAGAGGATAGAAAGCAACAGATGGATGATGGACAAATTCAGAAAATAGAAACTCGCCAAGTAGGGACTTTGAGATTTGATGGATGTTTGACTACAGAGAATATTTCAGTCAACAGATAGTAGGAATGAGGAGTTTGAAGTGACTTCCAGGTGTCAGTAGTTTTGTCATGACAGTTCCCAATAGAATTCACTGAGTCATATTAGAGGTCGGAGAGATGGTTCAGTAGTTAACAGCATTTTCTGCTCTTATCAAGGACCTGACTTTGTTTCCCAGTACCCACATTAGGCTGCTTACACATAACTCCATCTCCAGGGGACTTGGCATCTGCAGACATGACTCTCACAGGCACACACAAAAATAAATCTTAAGAAAGGTATTAGGTAACTTTGTGTTGGAAAATACGTAAATGTTTGCTAATGAATTTGTAATGACTAAAAACATAAAATAACTATATGTGATCTGACCCATACCTTATCAGTGATGTAGTTAATTAACTTAATTACTGACCCTGTGATATTTTCAATTTAACAAGCTATAAAATAAAATTGCAGGTTTAATACCTCAAAGTGGCATTCTAGCTAGAACCAAATATCAATACCAAAAATGTATCAGTCTAACGCTGATGTCACTGGACTGTGGTGGGTCATCACCATTATAACTGCTATTAATCTATGCAAACTTCTCTTTGTATCAGGCTCTGGTCAGTATTCTTTGCATTTAAGCCTCACATCACTACCTTTATGATGTTGATGATGTTAGCACTTCACAAATGAAAAAGTGTAATTCCAAGACATTATGTGTCTTAAGTTCTCATAGCTGCCAAGTGGCAGAACTGAGCTCTGTTTGATCAAATGCTACGGGTATTACTTACAACTCATATCAACTTACCTCAACCACCAGCTACAAGGCATGCCAT